TTTTCTTTTTGCTTATGTGGTGCTGGGGAATTGAACCCAGGGCCTCAGGCATGCAAGGCAAGCGCTCTACCACTGAGCCACCTTCCCAGCCCCTAATTTGATGATTCTTAACTTGAATAAAATATTGAGATTTGTACTCTTGTTTAAAAGGGTGAAGAGCAGAATTACTGCCTCCCCTCAAAGCCCCAGAGATGGGAGCATCTTCCCTGGGCCTTAGGGAAAAGCATTACTGTGTATGATCGGCCATACTTGGACTCTTATGCATGGCGTCCATGACCACCATCTCCACCCGAAGTCACCCTCCAACTACAGACTTGTCTCCTGGCCACTGGCTGTTGCAACTCTGATGTCTAATGGAGCACCTTCATCATAGCCCTTTATTCTGCCCTGGAATCCTATCCCCACCCCCACTCTGGTCTTCACAATCATAATAAAGAGCCACTGAATCCTTCAGTAGCTCAAGCCCAATACCTGAGCCACCCCCCACCCCCTCCCCCCCATGTTTGCCTTTCCTCTCTCTCTCATCCCCCACACTTCCAGAACCCTTCAGACCTCAGCCCTTGCCTATCCTCAGCCTAATTAGCTCCCTGACAGTTCTGGGAGCTCCCTGACAAGTCAGGTTGGTCAAGAGCTAGGCTCTCTCCCTCTCTCTCTCCCTCCCTCCCCCAGCATGGAGAAGCCCCTTGCTCCCAGCTGGTATGGCTGTGGGCACTGGGGCCTCAGCTAAGCTGATCTCACTGAAATGCTCAGCTCCCATCCTTCACAGCTTGTGGCCTACCACCCCATCTGGGACACAGACCTCGGATCTTTTGATTTTGCCTTCAGGCAGGACTCCCAACTTGGTTGAAGAGGACTTGCTGCTCAAATGAACAATGTCGGACTCGGGGCTGCCAGCGCTGGTGCTCCTGTGGGTCTGAGCAGGGAAAATGGAGACACTGGTCTTTAATGAGGTGTCACTGGCTAGAAATCAGCATAATTAGCATATTGTGGGCAGAGGACACCTGTGAAGCTACCACAGTCAGAAAAGGCTCTCTGTCTTCCCTTCCCCCCACCCTGCCCTAAGAAGTCCATGTCTCTTCCTCCATCCCCAGGTAACCACTGAATGCAACACATGACTGGGCATTCTAGAATTTTCTATGGATATGGTCGTGGGTATATATATACCCATGTTTCACCAGCAATAATCACTTAGGTATTCGCTTGTGTTGTTTTATGAGTCACCATCTGTTGCATGGGTGAGATGTGGTTAGCTGGACAGGCCTGCAGACTTTCACTACTGGACTTGTTTTGTGACCTGGGATATGATCTGGGTTGGTGAGTGGTTCATGGATGCTGGGGAGAAGTAACTTCTGCAGCTGAGGTACTGTGGAAAGTTGTGGAAAGTGCTGGTACTGTGTCAGTTCTTTGTTCTGACTTTGAGGGCGGGACCTCTCACTGGCAAGGGAGATGATGTCGTTATCTCTTTCCGTCCATGTCCCAGTGTACTGGGAAGCTCTCTTGCACTATGCATCCATTTAGGGTTTGTGTCCTCATCTGACCCCTCTATCAAATTGATGCTCTCCCCAGTGGTGCTCTTCACTCTGTAGACCCTGAGAGCTTCCTGGCCCCAGCTGTGGTTAATCACCAGGCAGTGGGTTAGAAGCACCATTGAGAAGTGGTGGAAACGCTAGAAGGACGTAAGGCTTGGAGGAAATAAGCCACAGGGGTCCACTGTGTGGTCCAGATGCTGCCTGTCTCTCTGCTTCCTGGCCACCATGCAGTGAGCAGCTTCCTTCATGATGCTCCATGTAGTGCCTGTCAGAATTCCTTCCTGGGCTGGGAATGTGGCTTTGTGGTAGAGTGCTTGCCTAGCATGCTTGAAGCCCTGGATTTGATTCCTTAGTACCACATAAAAAGATAAAGTTGGGAGTGGTGCTGTGGCCCAAGTGGTAGAGTGCTAACCTTGAGCACAAAGAGGCTTAGGGACAGCACCCAGGCCATGAGTTCAAGCCCCAGGACTGGCAGAAAAAAAAAATCCTTCCTTTCCAAGGCTGAGCAATATTCCATTTAAATCAATACATTTTGCTTGTCCATTCACTAATGCATACCGGTTATCCTTCCATATTTTAGCTATTGTTAGTGCAGTTGCTTCGCACAGGGATGTATAAATATTCCCAATAGGCCTCAGTTCTAGTTCTTTTAGGTAAATCTATCCAGCAATCAGGTTGCTGTTTTCCATTTTCCATTCCCACTGACAGTGTACATGTTCACTAATGCTTGATATTCTGGGTTTTTAGTAGCAATCTTGTTTTGCTGTGGTTTTGATTTGCATATACTTAATATTGGTAGCTCTTTGTTCACTTTTTAAATTGATTTGCTTTTTTGCCATGAGTCATATATATCCTGAATTTTAGCTATTTAACAAACCTTAGGTGAACAATGTCCTTCAATGCGAGGTGGGGTTTTTTGTTGTTTGGGATTTGGGGTTTTTGTTTTTTTGTTTTTGTCAGTCCTGGGGCTTGAACTCTGGGCCTGGGCACTTTCCCTGCACGCTTCAGCCCAAGGCAAGCACTCTACCACTTGAGCCACAGCACCACTTCCGGTTTTCTAGTGGTTTACTGGAGATAAGAGTCTGAGTTTTCTGCCCTGGCTGGCTTTGAACCATGATCCTCAGATCTCAGCCTCCTGAGTAGCTAGGATTATAGGCATGAGCTACCGATGACCAGCTTGTTTTTTTGTTGGTTGTTGGGCTTGAACTCTGGGCCTGGGCGCTGTCCCTGAGCTCTTCAGCTCAAGGCAAAAGCTCTACCACTTGAGCCACACCACCATTTCTGGTTTTCTGGTGGTTGATTGGAAATAGGAGTCTCAAGGACATTCCTGCCTAGGCTGGCTTTGAACTGAGATCCCAGCCTCTTCAGTAGCTAGGATTACAGGCATGAGCCACTAGTGCCCAGCTGGTGGTGGTGGTGGTTGTTGTTGTTGATTTTCGGTCCATCAAGTAGGGCTTGAACTCTGGGCCTGGGGGCTCTGCCACTTGAGCCACAGCGCCACTTCTGGTTTTCTAGTGGTTTACAGGAGATAAGAATCTCACAGAGTTTCCTGCTGGGGCTGGTTTTAAACCAAGATCCTCAGATCTGAGCCTCCTGAGTAGCTAGGATTACAGGCATGAGACACCGGCACCTGGCTTGGGATTTTTTTTGGGGGGGGGTCCGGTTGTGGGGCCTGAACTCTGGGCCTGGGCGCTGTCCCTCAGCTCTTCAGCTCAAGGCTAGCACTCTCTCTACCACTTGAGCCACAGCGCCCTCTTCCGGCTTTTTTTCTTTTTGCATATGTGGTGCTGAGGAATAGAACCCAGGGCCTCATGCAAGCGCTCTACCACTGAGCCACCTTCCCAGCCCTTGGGATATTTTTTTTAATGCCAGTCCTGGAGCTTGAACTTAGGGCCTAGGCACTATCCTTGAGCTTCTTTTGCTCAAGTCTAGTCCTCTACCACTTGAGCCATAGCTCCACTTCCAGCTTTTTTTTTTTTTTAGTAGTTTAGTGAAAATAAGAGTCTGACAGATGTTTCCTACCTGGCCTGGCTTTAAACCCTAATCCTCAGATCTTAGGCTTCTGATTAGCTAGGACTACAGTCATAAGCCATGGGCACCCAGCAAAGTATTATTTTTCATGCTGCTGAGGCTCAAACCCAGGGTCTTGTGCCTGCTCAGCAAGTAGTCTACCATTTACCTAAACCCCCATCCCTCAGAGGACTTTATTGTCCACAGCGTATAGGTTAACTTTGATTAATTAATTATAGATCATGACCTTAAACTGCATTGTCATTACATTCTCCCTGCAGGCCTTCATGATTACTTGCATTGTAGGTTCACATACTTAGTCCCTTACCCTCACACACTTAGTCCCTTACCTTCTGATTATCTGTGGATATCTTAACATCAAGCTCAGTTTTCAAGGATTTTTAGTATTTTGAACATTAGTATTTTGAACATTAAAATCCTCAAGTCCATTATCTCTGGCCTCCAAATGTTTCTGGTAAAAAATCTGTTGGTAATCTTAAATAACCCTTGTCCAAGACAAAGCTATGCGTATGTGAGTGTGCATGCCTACACGCACACACAAGCATACACCTCAGACAGGGTCTGCCACGCAGCCCAGGCTGGCCTTGAATTTGCTCAATAGCCTTGACTCATGATCCTCCTCCTGATTCTGCCAGTTTTAGGACCATAGGTGTGGCCACCGCACCTAGTTCTCCTGGCATGATTGAGATGTTCTTAAATCAGTTTGATTACAGTGTATTTTAGTGGATCTCTTTGAGGTCTCCTATTTGGGAGTTTGTTGAGCTTCTTGGATATTTTTTTTCCCATTGTGGCAAAGTTTTCCTGGAGAAAACTATTCTACCTTGGCCTTTTCAACATGGCTGGGCCTGTGTGACAGAATGGCACTACTGTGCTGAGCTGATGGGTCTTCTCTGGGTGCTTCAGCCCCATCCCTAAGTAACAAAGTGATCCACCAGGCAGAAGGGAACAGTGACAAAGTTGGAGCATGACATTTCCAGAAAGGATAAGGAGAACCAATTCCTGGACCAGGGCTGTAAAAAGTTAAACACCTACAATAAACCAACTTAAAGGCAGAAAAAATTTATTTTGGCTCATGGTTTTCAGAAGATCTAAACCAGTCCTGTCCAAAAAAAAAAAAAAGTCTGCAAGACCCCATCTCAATGGAAGACACCAGATACAGTAGTGTATGTCTGTCATCCCAGATATGACAAGACACATGAAATAGGCAGACTGTGGACTGGGAATGTGGCTTAGTGGTAGAGGGCTTGCCTCGCATGCATGAAGCTCTGGGATTCCTCAGTACCACATAAACAGAAAAAGCTGGAAGGGTGCTGTGGCTCAAGTGGTAGTGCACTAGCCTTGAGCATAGAGAAGCTCAGGGACAGTGTCCAGGTCCTGAGTTTAAACCCAAGACTGGAAAAAAAAAAGGCAGATTGTGGGGCAAGGATGAGAGCCTATTTCAAAAATGACCAGTGCAAAACAGAGCTGGGGGTATGCCTCAATTGTTAGAACATCTGCCTAACAAGCATAGAGTCCTGAGTTCAAACCCCATCACCACAAAAAATTAAAAAAAACAGGAGAGAGATCACAGCTCACAGGCATGCTCTGTCTCTTGTCTTGTGATGCTCTGTGCTACCTAGAGACTCTAACCAGAAAGAAGGCCATCACCTCCCAACCCGCAGAACTATGAGCTCAATTTCTTTCTGTGAAGATCACAGGCATTTCCTTAGAACAATGCAAACCACGGTACCATTTATGAAATGGCAGATGAATTCATGTTCCTAAGAAGAGGCTGGTGAGCAGCTGCTAATGACCTGGAGCAGCCTCCATCACCTCTACCTGAAAGGGACACGGCAGCTGATCTGTAAGTGAGGGGTTGAAAGGTGTGTGAGCACTCTGAAGCGTTGCCCAGTAAGGGCTGGAGGGACTTTAAGACCTCCCTCCTGGCTCCTGATGACACTGATCTGAAGCCTCTACCAACAATCCTTTTGTCTCAATCTGACCCAGAATCTGGAATCATTCTACATCACCGACATGGTGGCTGTTCCGCCGGCCAGGGTGTTCCAGTAGATTCCAGTGTCCTGCTTAGCATCCGGTGCACACCCTCGAACATTCCTTCACATCTTTGTTCTGGGATAGGCTTTACACTTTTGTGGGTTTTTTTTTTTTGTCGGTTGTGGGGCTTGAACTCTGAGTTTGGGCACTGTCCCTGCGCTCTTCAGCTCAAGGACAGCGCTCTACCGCTTGAGCCACAGTGCCACTTCCAAGCTTTACACTTAATTGTTGTTGTTATTGTTATTATTATTATTGTCAGTTGTGAGGCTTGAATTCAGTGCCTGGGCGCTATCCCTGAGCTCTTTTGCTCAAAGCTAGTGTTCTACCAATTTGAGCCACAGCACCACTTTTTACACTTGTGTTTTCTGTTTTTGGTGCCAGTCCTGGAGCTTGAACTCAGGGCCTGGGCACTGTCTCTGACTTTTTTTTCCCTCATGGCTAGCATCCTGCCATTTGAGCCACAGCTCCATTTCTGACTCTTTTGGGGGTAGTTCATTGAAGAGACTCATGGACTTTCCCACCCAGACTGGCTTTGAATCAACATCCTCACATCTCAACCTTCTGAGTGGCTAGGATTAAAGGTAGGAGCCACTGGTTCCCAGCTACACCTATTTACTTTTTACTTTTTGATGGTCCTGGGTTTGAGCTCAGGGTTTCACGCTTGCTACACTTGCTTGAGCCTTGCCTACAGCTCTTTTACTGGAGTTTGTTTTTTGAGTTTGTTTTCCCACATGGGGTCTTGTGCTGACATTGCTCCAGCCAGCCTTGAAACACCATCCTCCTTGCCTCCTGAGTAGTGTGGGGACCCCAGGCACACGCCTCCCCCCACATCCAGCCTCAGCTTTCCACAAACACTCAGTCCAGTAATGTGACATCTGACAGCAATCAAGGCACCTCAGCTTTGCTAATCTGCATGGTCAGTCTGCACACTGACCTGCATTATGGCCTCTCCCTCCTGGGCCATGCGCAAGTAATATATTTTAACCCTAACTTAAAACAACAAAACAGTATACTCCTTTCCAACTGTGAAAAGCCATCATCCATTTTTCTTAAATCTTAAATGATTTTCCTGGAAGGGACACAACAGCTCCAGATCATTCGAGGCAAATTTCACTCTCCCAACACAGCCATCCATTGGACTTCCACATCTGGTTACCTGGCTTATTATCGTGTAAATGCTCACGTGTTTGTTTCCAAGCAAATTAGTGCAGGGCAGGTTTAAACAGGACTCGGTCAGTTGGTCAGGAATACAGTTGACCGCAAAGCACAAGAGAGCTTCGAAGAATTCCAGGAAAACCAACTGCAAGGAAAGAAGGACAGAAAGTACAGGAGGCCTACTTCCTTCTAGCAGGTGGAAGCAGCCCAAGATCAGCCTCTGGTGTCTTAATGCAAACATCTGCACACACATGTGTGTTTATCTGCATAGGGATGTAGGGATTTGGTGTCAGGTGACTGTCAATCAAATCATGCTTCCTGTTACCTCCCAGAGCTGGGTCTGGACTCTTGGTGACACAGCTATACAGACCTCAAACTCAAAGTTGCTGTCGATTCCATCATGTACAAAGGGGTTGTCCTCAGCTATTACGAGCATAAACTTGGTTGCTGTTAGTTCTTTATTTATCATTCTGAAGTCCTGTAAAAGAAAAAACAAAAGTCCCAGCTATGCTGTAACTGCCAATAATAACAAACAGGTGTGTGTGTGTGTGTGTGTGTGTGTGTGTGTGTGTGT